TCCGTTTGTATTCATTTTGATCACGGGTCGGTTCCGGGAATTTTTCTCAATGGTTACGGTGGCGGGAATAGTGCGGAATATTCCGGTTACAATATGGTGATTTCCAAACGGAATACTGCTTCCACTTTCCGGATAGTTTTCCAGTCCGTTTTCGGTTGTAATATACTTGGAAATCACCGGAAGTATCGAGAAATTGCGTCGTTTCCTTCCGCTTTCGGAGTCCGGAATCATCGACCTAGGTATTCTCTATGATTGAGACCATTTTTTATAATCTAAGAAAACATCTCACCTATAGGTGTATATTATTAAGACAAAATATATGCATTGATCTGTATATATTTTTGAAAATAAGAAAACAAGCTGCATCATGCATTTGAAAAAGCCAGTTATCGCTGAAAAAACAAGTTCGCCTATAGCTAAAAGAAAATCATTATCAATAGGAGTAAAAAAGAAATCCTTTGAAAAACAATTAATTGTTATAAAAATCAAATTAATTTCAATCGTCTCAACAAAGACGATCTCCTTCAATTCGTTCGTCATTTTCTTCTGCTATAGCTAATTCTTCTCGCGCATTTTTTTAAATTTCCAATGGATTTCTTATGGTTGTTTTCGAAGTTCAAGTACTGCAACTAAAAATAATAATCAATGTAGATTGAAAAGAGAAAAATATACAACAATGAACCACGATCATCATTTGCTTGTAGTTGAATTCAACGGAAGTTTTCTTTGATTCATTTTAGTTAAAACAATTATATCAAAGTCGTACATATTTAGTGAGTTAACTTTTTAAAACAGATATTTAGATTTTTGTTTACTATATTCTAATAATCATACTTTCATTATTCGATTAAAACGAATAGAAACTCGTGTATCGTAATATTTAACGCTATCTACTGTCTTTTTTCTTTAATTTAAGTGAAAAATGTTGCTCTGGCAGATCGATGTTACCATCAATCCGCACGATTTCGTCATCGCAACATGTATTTGATCAGCAAAGATCATTTACCTCTTGGTAAGTTGTAATGAGCAATTTTATTCGTGGAGATGCAGAGTATGAAATCATTTTTCTCTCTACTCTTTTTTATACAAGAAGGGTCTCTTCGCAAAGGGCGTGCAATTCCCATAGAAATGACTAGATTGCTAAAGATGGCATTCATGTGGTCAACGAATGTAATCAACCCGTCGTGTCCACGCTCCCCTATTATAACTTCAACTACTGACAATATTGATGATACGATTGTGAGAAAATTAACTACAAAAAAAATGAGAAGTTGTCAATGCATGTTCAATCGTATAATATCAATGTTGTGGTGTAATTATCCAAAAGATACTAAAATCGAAAATTCGATACATTTTGTTAGCGGATATGATCCACCCTCAACTCTGCCTCTCGATGTCTTTACATATCTCTCCCTTGTTATGCCCATACTATCATTGTTATTCTCCCCCTCTCTTCCTTTTCTTCTCTCTCTCTATATATATACATATGCGTGTGTGAAAAGGTTAGATATAAATAAAAGTAAAGCTCGACGAAGCGAGCTAACACATTTGATGATTAAGAAAACAGATGAACTTATGATTGATTGTAATCACTAGCTTGCTTTTTTTAAATAAAACTCTTGTGAATACGTGCACATTGGGGAATCACAGTAACATAAATGGAAGATTTACCTATTATACATTGGCTTGCCAATATGTTCTACTATAGTTCCACTTTCATTAGATTTTACAATACGAATAAAATACACTAAATGATGTACGCTCAAAGGAGGTTAACCAATAGTAGTCCATGTAATTTACTATATCAGATTGGCAGTGTTCTACGTTCCAGAATAAAATATTGAGCATATTGTTTAGTTCTAATTGAACTCAATTGAAAAACACTTGCTTGAATCTAAATTTTTCAGTGATATTTTTTAATGAATCGTTTGTCGAATAAAAAACAAAGCATGAAAGACAAAAATATGGCCCACCCCTAATTCACAGTGTAAAAAGAAATCTATTCATAGAAAAATCAGTTCGGTAATATGAAGAAATATTTATTCTATCTATTAATTATTGAACAGTGTAATCATAGCTTATCGAGAAAAATCTTTGAGGAAATCGAGTAACAATGAATGAATTGTTCACTAGGTATAAAAAAAAGCGCATGTAATCTATGAACAATCGGTAAAATAATCGAAATTCAACAAAATGAGTCGTATTGGCTAAGTAATTAAGAAAGATTTTCTCTTATGAATAATGCTCAATAAAAAGTAATGATTAAGCAAAGTCCAATCGATTAATTGTACCATTGTACACTTCAACAAAAATAGATAGACAGTATACAGAGCATTTCAACTATACATATCGTAATGCTAAAGAAATATCATTAAGTGAAGCAATTCACCTTTGTTATGGTTCTCTAACCACTGAACATATCGGGGTAAATGGAATATGATTTTCAACAGGTACCAATTTATGATATCCAATGGTTCATCATCATTGAAATACGATGCAAATGCTAGTAGTCTATAACGATGTTCGATAGGTCGTTAAGGATTCGGCATACTTAATAGTTCGATTATTTAATTTCTGCATCATTATTTTTCACTGATAAATACATGCTGAAAGACAAACTCAAACTAACCGACATCGAAAGAATTGAAATGTTAAAGTAAAGTTTGACTGTTAATCTATTTTTTTTATCTTTGAAGAATTAATCGAAGTGATGTCCTTCACGAATGGACCCGAAAGATAGAATGCAAGCAAGTGATGTGTCAGACTGAGAATAATATCATACCCCACATCTGATCGAGAAAGATTGCTTATTACAAACTTATCAAGAAGTAAATAATCGCTACGGATCAAAATACATGTTGCTATGAAGAAAATATGCAGGTTGATCGCAACATCGACTTGCCAAAGCAATACTTTCATTTATAAATAAGGATACATTGTGAGACATTGTGTTGAATAGAGAAACATTCACGTGACAAAAAACTCGACTGTTGATGTGCAGCCCCTAGTCAAGGTACTCATATAGGAGTACTCAAAAAGTACTCATGCTAGAAAATGTCACGAGTACTCACGAGTACTCGTAACGTTTGAGTACTCGTATGTCGCACTTGCCATGAGTTTTCAGTCTTTAAGTACTACTAACGTGTACGTATGTAAAAATTTCGAGTATTTGAGTACTACTATGGAGTACACATGCCAGCATATTGGGTATTACGCATAGCTATTTGTCTTTAATTTTGTGATTACTGTACTATTGTATTTCATTTACGTTCGTATTTCTGTTCGTTGTTGACTAAATATTATCATCTGAACTTTTATTCTATTTAACAAAATTATCATAAAACAAGCAATATAACGATGGCAAAAGAGATAAAACATATAATTTGAAAAAGAAAGAAGAATATAACAATCAATAAAAAAAAACCTGTTCTATGATAAAGAAAATGAAGCATTTCCATTTCAATACAATTTGTTTTGCCTAATATGATCATAGTGTACATCATGAAATATCACACAAGTACATAATTAAATAATGTTCATTTATTTGGTTCAATTATTGATAACTTGATGCCAAAAACGCTAATACAATTACTCTCTCTCATTTGCACGATTATGTTGATTGAGGTGGTTCTGATGACATTGCCGTTGTCATTGCTTGTCCATCAAGATTTGCTGATGTTTGTAAAAGTTGAGAAGTTGTATTTGTTGACACCAAGAATGGTTGTTTATTAATCCGTTTCTTTTTATTGTTCTCCTCATCGATATGTTGGCGAGAAAGAGATTCCATGATTTCTTTCCATAGAATACTCATGTTATCATCAATAATAATACACTTCATTTGTATGAATTCTATATTAAAAATTATACTAAAAGTCATCAGTAGAAAATTTGAAACGTATATACAAACCTTTAAATAAACTTTCGTGTTCTTTTAAGTATGTTTTATCGCCAATACGATCGCATTTTTTTATTAATTCTCGCATTATCATTGTTGGACGATTTGGTGTGCTTTTAATTTGGTTTGGATTTATTCCAGTAACTCGCTAGAAATAAAAAAAAGATAAAATTTCAAAAATCTCATAAAGAAAAATTACTTCAATATTTGCATAAACTCCATTAATATCTCCAACTGAATTTGATTGATTTACTGGTGTCTAAAGAAAAGAGAAAGGAAAGTTTCTAAATGAGATATATGCTTCTATTCGACTTTACTTACAATAGGTGTCTTAGATCGAAATTTCTTGATTACTGGTATTACTTTCTCCAACTGATCAACTCTTTTTCGTAATTGCTTGATTTCTTCATCAAGGATTTTACAACCATTACATGGTTGATCAACTAGAAAAATATGTGTAAGTCAAAAGAAAATTATAAAAGGAAAATTTACCATTGCTAACTGGTTGACCAACTTTTTTTTTTCTTTTTAGACGAGGTTTTTTTAATAATGATTGTAATTCATTGCTTTTGTTGACAACAGTTAAATCTTTGTCTAATAGATAAGTAAAGATTGTTAGGCTTGATTGACTATAAATGACACAACTCACCATATTCATCATCTGATATATCTGTACCACTCAATGAACTTTCGTCATGATTATCTTCATGGCACCTTTTTGTTCCTACTTTTGATGTATATACACGACTAAAATTCAATTCACGATTACACAATGGAGTTTCTGAAAGAATACATTGAAGTACATCAATGAATTAATGTGTCATACTAATCAAATAACAAGACAGTATCATATACTTCTTTGTCAAAAACTTACTTTGAGGATTCATATTGTTGGATGATGTTGTTGTATTTGGATCACTAACATCTGGTGATATTATATCAATACGTGATTTTGATCGTTCGCCTGTTGTAATTCGTTTCTTAGATTCGTGATCCATCCGATGTGTGATAGATGGCGAGTAATCATCATCATCATAATTATCATCTTGGTTTTCATTGTTTTCCTGCTCGTCAGGAACAAGCTCAACTTCTTCACTGGCAGCTGAAACAGCATAACGTGATGCACGTTCTTTCATAACTTCTTTAGGGCCTTAATACAAATAAAAAGACTTCCAAACGTCAATAAAAATTATTTACAAAAATATTACCAGTACTGACTATTCGTAGATTTTTTCTCGATCCAAATGTTTTAATACTGCCATTTTGTTTATCAAGAGGATCAATATCAATGCTAACCGACGGAACAATACTATGTTTGTTCCATTGTGGAAAAGAAACAAGTACATATTCTTGCTCATCAAAACGTTTATTAATTCCAGCTGTTGATCGTCGCACACGATTATAACTTGTTGGCAATATATCCATAGCTAAATCTAAACATAACAAAAAAATAAAAATATATTATGAATAAAAAAATGATAATTTATCATTGATGAAACACGCAGATGAGAAAATTACATTTTATTTGTTTAAAAAAGTCCTAAGAACTATAATCAATAAGAAGAAACTGAACAAGTTATTCTGATGACTATTCATGTTCCAATTCACACACCACATCAGTATAAACGAACAGATTATTAATCCATTTCATATTGATAACTTTGTTCGATAAATGAGACACAGGTATAATTTTATATGAAAAATATTTATGATTATATAACCCAAAGTAGTGATTTAGTCTATTAGAAATTGATTGAGGTACCGATACTGTAGTCAATGCATCTGAAATGCTTAATTTCACACATTCATATTTTTTGATAAATGCATATTTATGTCCAGAAGAATGAAAAAAAAATAAAACTTCTGCAAGACATGTTGTCCTTTTCATTGAACATGTCTTGGTTGATATCGACACTAAATAGCTAATTGCATTACCACCTCTTGTATAGGCTCGTGAATGGAACATTTTAAATCCACGAGAGTAACGAGAATAATATCTTGATGTTGTCAAATCGATCTTTTTTTGTCTCGAGCATGTTATTAATTTGTTTTGATAATTTTGAATGAAGCATTTATCCGTATAAGTTTCGTCAAGTTTTTCAACATTAAATATATCATTAAGTGTAATTGAGTTGCTTGAAGCTAATGATCGATCTACTTTGTACCACGTAATGAATTGTTCCAATATATAGTTCTTACCAAGACACCATTTTAATGAATGACCAATATAAGACTCACGGGCAAAACATGAAGTATATACTAAAGCGCCATGTTTTAGTACTTGTTCTTTTAAATGAGAATGCAAATGGAGTGTACATAATTGTGACTTTTCACCATAATAGTCTACAATATGTTCATAATAATAATTGAAAATATTTTCGATATCATTCAATTCTGTAATATCGTCATAAGCATACAAAGCACGTACATGTAAGAAGTAATGAATAAAAGGTAAGGCAAGAGTATCAGGCAGAAATAAGCACGCAAAAACTGGTGATATGTATAGTAAAAAATCTCTAAAATAATATTAGAAAAACATTATTATGTAGAACTACAAAGAGATCCTTATTAAGAATTTTACTGTTGTTTTTAATTATGTACTAATTATATTTTGAACAAGCCTTCTTTCAAGATATTTTTATTACGGGACAGATTTATCTCGATGCTAATTAAAATACATTTACTTTTTGTCGTTAGCGTTAAGAATAAAATTAAGTTTACTGAAATTATATGGCATTCAGATAAACTTAATTTTATGACTACTGCTAACGAACTAATGAGTAAAATCGTTTAATCCTAAAATTAATTGTATATGTGACATAGAGTTGTAAAAGTGTTGCATCACATTGTATAAACTTAACACATGCAGCTAGACTTGATATGCGTGTAAACTTAAAGTGATACGTCTAGCTATATTCAATTGAGTTTTCTTACCGAAACATTTTCGTTTTCCATTGAGAATATTGTACAAGTGGAATAAATTGATATCTAAAAGAATGAGGCAATATAATAGATATAAGATAATTAGAACTTTGATCAAAAACTCCAGGTAGCAAATTCTTTTCCCAATATGTTATTAATGTTTTAAAATGACCAGAGCATACGAGATGCATATAGTCTATGGCTATTTGATCAGGAAAGACAAGTATTTTTGTTAATGGTGTTGGTCCTTTGATTCCCTTTGATGCTGTTACGGTTGTGTTTTGTATCGATAAAGTTGTATAGTCATGATCAGTTTTTGGTGCTGCTGGTGTTGCTGAATAAGGATAAAACACTTGGCGTCCAATAGCTATTCCATGGATATCACAGTCAGGATAAGCATCATAGCCATTAAATTGGATAATATTGCAATTTTGTGCAAGAGCAGGCAAATCAAACGTCGCATATTGAGCACGTATATTGAACTTAAGCTTTTCACCAGCATCAGTACTAATAATAATTCCGTTTTTAAATAAATCATGAATTTGCTGAACAATATAACACCACAACAAATCTCTATTTGGATGAGTACCACCAAGCCATGCACCGAGAATCATTGTAGCATCAGCACGATCTCGCATTGGTGGAGGTATTTCCACCAATGTACATTGTATAGGCCACAACGATTTTCCACCAACTTTAGTAACCGGTGCACCGTCAGCATGCAACATAAGAGTAAGCTTATTGGATTTATTTGACGGTAAATTTCTATAAATCTGTGAAAGATAATTCAATTCAATTTTTTATTTTTATAACAACACAATAAAATATTTTGTTTGTGAAACTTGATACTTTTCTAAGTTTTGTTAGCTGAGTTTGGATTTTTCAAAAAAAAAAGATTTCTCAATTCATAACTGATCAGAAGATTTTTCAATCATACGATTTATTTCTTATAAATCTAAAATAGCTTCTAATCTAGAATTGCCTGTATTTGATAGATTTTCTATTTCTCATATTGCTTTATATTATTTCATTTATTATAAACCCTATTAGCTAGCGGATCAAGCTAGAGAAAATTTAAGTTTCACATTTATTATGCTTTCTTTAAAACTGAAATAAATAAACGACAGAAAGTGGCCATATGTCCCATCGATTAAACCTCATAATTTCTTGTTAGATCGAGGAGTAATTCATGTTTCATAGAAAATAATGGTATGCATTTTTTACTCCATTGGTTACAGATAAAACAAGAAAAAGCAGGTCTACTCAATCAGATCAAGCCTTAGTTGCTATAGATAGACAATTTTTATTATAAAAGGAGATCAAGCTTTCGCTAAAATAATGATTCTGATGACGAAAATATATTAATCCAATTGATAAATTACCCTAATCTCATTACAATTAATATTGTGAGTTTCTTGGTAAAATTACTGACCTGTCCATTTAGAACATCACCTGGTAAAACCATTCTAGGTTGATTTTGATACTCTTGAATTAAATTTACATAGCGTTTTGCTGTTGATGAGATCTCTTTTTTAACATCACACAGAACTAATTCACTGACATTTCTAAATGAACGACGTCGATTATTCATAGAACATTCAACAGTACATGTTGACTGCTGCGGTGATGCAAGTGGATAAAGGCAACCACGACAGTAATAAGAAACTTTCTTGGAACAATCAATGTCTATAGTAAAGAGAGAACAAACAACATGAGAAGCCATAATAAACTCTATTTGATAGCCTCATTCTATTATAAGTCCTTATTTTTGTAAATAAAACTCGGTTAAGATACGTTTTTCATTTGATTTCAATTAATGAAAAAAAGGATTTATTAATCCAAATGCAATGACTATTGTGAAAAAATCTAAACATAGAAAAGGTCAACATATATGTGACACAGATAACACAGGCTGATTTGAACAAATAAATGATCACATGGAAACATCCAATTGCAAATGCTCTCTTTCTCTTTACGTATACAATAGAAGTGTCTAGCCGTTCGATATATATGATGAGCAGAACTATTGAAATATTTTGTTCAAGTCTAACTATACTGTGCAAACATTATTTTTTTTTTGACATTAATTTCTTTATCATACATGTTTGTAAATGCATAACTGTTTTATTGAGTTATTCATAAATCCAACCCATAGTACTACACTGAGTACTCATACCAGTACCTGCGAGTAAATTATAACGACTAATACATATATTAGTACTACTGCGAGTACTCAAGGGTTAAAAATACTCACGAATTTTCGTGAGTACTCAGTCGAGTAGTTTGAGTACTCATCCTGGGAAGTCGTACTCTCTTAACGAGTAGTTTCACTAGGGATTTTTCTTCATCTTTTATAATGGATCAAAATGTAAATCGTATCAAGGGATTGTTTTTAGAATTCTATTTAAAGACTGAGTATGATCATTCATTTTGAATTACCAATCTCACAAAATATAAAAAAAGAGATAACAAAATTTTTAACACGGATGATGGAATATATCATTTGTTGGAATTAGAGAAACAAGGATAGCGCAATATTCAAATTCATCATGCGCAAGCAAATAATTTTGATGACGTTTCGGAAAACGCAAGAATCGAAATACGCGCGCAAACCGATGGCGTAAGACAGTGACCACGTGGGAACCATGGTCAAAAATACAAAAAATTATTAATGGGTATGAAGGCGATAAATATTCTCCTTTTCCCCGTAATTGTCGACATTTCGTCGAGGAAATACTCCAGGCATGCGACTCAAAAATATCAGTGAACTGATGAGCCAAATGACACTAAAGTTATCATCTTTCAAGAACACTGCATCCTTCATGCTTAATAAAAATCAATCGAAAGCAGATCAACTGATATATGTACAATACAAATCAATCTGCTATTCCCAACTTTCGTTTTTCAGCAAGTGATCTGTTTTGTCGAAATTTAATAAATCAAACAATGATTAGTATACTTCTGAATGAAAGTTAATGTCAAGTTTCAAATCGTCAACGCGTTTCGTGTTTTTTATTCATAAATGCAACACTCATCAGGGCTCTACAGATATGTCGTATGCCAATCTCGGATTCAGGCCATTCTAAGATCCGAGTTTGGACTAGTTTAATATTGGATTGATGCAATCCTATTCATTAATATATCAATAACGTTTTAGATAAACTTTGGATTTGAGTCATTTTTTAAATCATGTTCAGATAACATCGTTTTAAGTATTACAAGCATGCGCGGAGAAACTAACTTTAGGCTCGGAAGCTTATTAACAATTTTTTTTATAAAACTTGTTCCCCTAGAGAAATCTATTCATAACTCCTAATATTTTACTTGAATCTTTCAAAAATCTGTTGTACAAAGCAAATTGGCATCGTATGAACATGATTTCAAAAAATGACTCAAATCCAAAGTTTATCTAAAACGTTATTAATATATTAATGAATAGGATTGCATCAATCCAAGATTAGACTAGTCCAAACTCGGATCTTAGAATGGCCTGAATCCGAGATTGGCCTACGACAGATATAAGCACAAAAACGAATAGAAAAAGATGTAATAAAAAGGGCATTTGCATATTTATGACAAGGATAAATAATGGTTGAAATGACCTTAAACTAATTTTGAACATATAACCATCGACACCAATGAGAAAATGAATAAGAGTTTAAATAAATAAAACACAAAAGACCATAATAATGTTAGAATGAATTAAATTATGATGGATCCAGTGAGAAAATTTCTATTTGTATGTTCACTGGTGGAGAAAAGGGAGCATAATCAATTTATGCCTATTATTGGTCAGGGCAGATTATGAGGACGGGTAAAAAAGTTGATAAAACAAAACATTAAAGGACAAGTCATAACCAACAAGTAACGTTCATCGGCGTCGAAAATCGATTCACTGGGCCCTAGACTGATAGTGCTGAAGAGAACAAATGCATGGGCAGGACAAAAAATCGATTGTTTGTGCCAGCAGCTGTTGATGATATTTTCAAACAGATCCGTAAGTGGAATGAGAATAACTGTAACTGAGGTAAGAATTAGACGAAAATTAAAGATTTCAATTAAAAGCACTGTGAATGAAAACGAAAGACGGACAAAATGGGACTCAAAGGCCCTTAATGAGGGGAGAGACTGACTCTTACGTACCCACAAAAATATATGGCTCAGAAATTTTGTGATGGTTAGCTCAAAGTTCCGTAAGGGAGTCAGCTCGCCCCTCCACTGACCCCATCTGCAGAGCGGACTGTTTCGCGTGACCATGCTATGCATCCACCAATGGTTTGTGCCATTGTTACAGACTGACAGACAGACACAGGTGAATTACGGTTTGTAGACCCTATCCTTTCAGTCTTGGGGAAAATAGCTCATAGGAAAGTTTCTAGGACTCAACACGTGGTGCTACTCCATCAACAAATACCAAATGCACATGCATTTCTTCTCACGAGCTGTGTCATGCTTGATTTATACTTGAGGTCCATTTCCAACGCCCTAAAACTAGCGTTAATCTATGCATCTAATATTGATTTTCCAAATCTATCTGAAACTCACTAGGTTTTTGCTTGACCATACTCTTTTCCGAGCATACCTAACAACTAAAAATAACCGTTGCAACGAGAAATATATTATCAACCCGTTCTAAATATCAGTATTGTTCTGAAAGCACTATCGAGAATCTTATCATTTTTAGATGATATCTTGTCTAGCTATGTAACAATCTTTATTGCATGATTTGTGAAAAGTATATGTATCATCTGAGGACTCCATGAAATCCATCACTAATGTTTCTACTCCTGTATGCATATGTAGAATGACTTATGACTGTTTATATTTCCATATAGGTAAAGTGACCGGATAGTAAAAAGCTTATTAGCGCAGCCCCTTTGTGGTTAAAAGGTGGAACTCACATAATTAGTTAAGTGGAAAACGGCAGTAAAATCTACCTTTTATCTAAAATATGTAATTACGGCATTACCTATTTGCTTATGTCTGTAATGGATAGGTCTTTGGTTTTTTGAGTAATCTGTGATGAAAATAAGGAAGAAATAACAACCTTATTAGTATAGTTTCTAATTAGCACAGCTATGAACTCATTAATGTCTGTAATATAGAGGCAGGGGGGGGGGGGGGGGGGGGGGGCGGTGAGCCGCAAAAATGTCGCTTTTAAACTTACAGGCACCATTTTCTTCGAATATATATGTGATTCCACAAAATATCCTAGATAGCAATTTATTTACATAATAGTCATTTGACTCTGTAACATAAATCTATGATTTTGACTGTGAATAATTATTTTAAAATAATTCCATACAACGAAAACTAGTACGAAACATGTAAGTCGACCTGTCCAAGCGTGATGGAATCACGTTTTTTCATTTTATATTTTGAATATCTCAACTTAATGAAATTGGATAATGCTGAAATTTTCAGAATATATTCAAGTTTCATTGCTCTACGTACTCTGAAATTTTCATAGGGTTCGAAACTTCCGTGAGAATTTTATGATTAAAATATAGATCCGTTATGGAATCACCAAAAATGGTCTTCGACATTGAGTCCTACATGAAGAACTAGAAAATTTAGCTCAGCTAAAACTGCCAAGAAAAAACTTTCAATAGGAAAGTTATAGTGGAGATGTCATTCTATCAGTAGAAAAAAAGAAAATTTAAAATATGTAAAAGTATGTCTTTGAACAGCGAAAAAAGCTTCGTAACGGAATCACCATTTTCATGACGGAATCACTTTTTTAAAATGTTCATGTTTTTTGAGTGCTTATTTCTTCAGAAATTTATCTATAATTCCCGAAAATCAACAAATTTTGTATTACTCATAGATATCTACAAAATGAGTGCAAAGTCCGGCCATCGGTACTGGAATCGGGACTAGGACCGAAAAAAATTAATTGTATTGAGGTCATAACCGCAAAAACGTAAGTATATCATGGCTGAGACCCAGACAAAAGCAAAACTGGTCCCACCAAGAGTAAGAGGGTGAGAGTTTCGTACTCTGTAGTCCAGATGAAGTAAGGTAGGAGTACAGTAAAGTAGACCTAAGTTACAGTTGCAGTAAAGAAATATAAAATATGACTATTGAAGACGCATTAAAAATGTGAGAAAACAGTGCTGCAGCATGCTCCTCTAAATAGGCACAGACTGTAGATTAGTTAGAACCACATGAACGGAATAAAAAATGAAATTACACCAGGACAGAGACCAGAACCACAATAAGGGTGCCGGGACTTCGGTCGGGATTGGGGTCAAAAATAATGTTGCCTCGCGTATCTCTAAGTACTCTTGAAAAAGTGATCAAGAAAAGTAATTTTACGTTGATCATTCGGATAAAGTGAAAACTATACTCCAACAGTATAAGATACATATCAAATATCACCGATAAAATGGCATCTTCAATTGCGGTAATAAAAATAACTTCAAATTGTCAGAAATCAACTTCGGAATTAAGCAGTAAGGCTCTAAAACCCCATTACCTATATAAGAAATATAGCTAAGATGTAATATAAGAGAAAAACAATGTTCCTATTATTTTTAGGGAAACGTACTTGTTCAACCCAAACGTGATTCCGTCACGCTTTCTGTAACGAACCAGGAATTTTTATCAAAAGCCAACTATTTCTGTGGGTAGAGCGAAAAAAATCAGCGTTAAAGCGCGCATTTGTAGAATTATACATATCTTGCTTTCGGCTAAGAATGAGTTCTACCATGTTTTCGTTACGGAATCACAATCAAAAATGGACTACTTTTAAAGTATAAATATTTTTCTTCGGGAACAACAAATATCTGGATCTCTTCTTATAGCTAAAGAGCCAACTTAACATTGTTCTGAAAGATGTGATCGACTTTGAAAAATATCGTGTCTGTCTGCATGAAAAAACACAAAATAAAAACTCTTCATAAATATATATATTCATCGATACAGACTGATACTTGTTTAATAATATTTTTTTCCTAAAATATATACCGCTACTGAGATAAAAAAATACATTTCTGTGTACTATCCACGATGCTCTACAAGATGGTTATATTTATTTTACTCAATTTTGAAGTTCAACTTTGCCTACATAGGTGGACCGTTACGTGGACAGGTCGAAGTATAATAATTTGAACTGGGTGCGTAAAATAATCTTTAATAAATGGATTCTATGGTTTCTTAAGGAAAAACTTGATCGTCAGCGAGTGGATTATTAGTGAAGGTATTCTGGATTTTTGCTAGTGTAAGGGTACAATACACAATTTAGTATGAACACTTTAGTCTACAATCCCACTAAGAGGTTCCTAGAAAATCTTTTTGGTTGAAAAAAACAGAAGAGAGTCATTATGTTAATCCACTTTAGTTATCAACGTATGATACAATTTTGTCTACTAGTTCGATACCTAATAGTATGCAGTAAAGTTTCACGAAATCTTAAACAATTTATTTGGCACCCTTTCCCCCTGTGTAATGTCTTGAATCGAGTGAATAAATAAAACTATCATATTAATTTAACTTTATTGAGCTTGAGTAAAGGATTTCTACTATCTAATGACAGAAAAGAATGTGTGCTAATGAAACAATAAGACTAGCAGCAAAAATACATTATCATGAAAAAACATACTACTACGAGAAAAACATAGAAAAATAAAATATGTGATCATTCATAAGCACATGATAAAGAAGAAGAAATGTAGCTAATAATTAGCGAGATGTAGCAGAACAAATGAGTAAGATCTACGATAATCTAAAGCTAATTTTTGGCATGTTTTGATCCCATGATTGTGTCAAAATATTCTTTGACTTTTTCGAAGTCCATGCTTATCTGCGCAGCTTCAATAGAACGATTTTCACCAATACTATCATCTTCTACTATGGCTTTAAATCGAGAGGGGAACGAATTCATAAATGAACACTCTTTCTCTAAACCTTCTTCTTCTACTTCTTCCTCATCATCTGAAAATAGTACAGCTTTTCTTTTTGTGAGACATTTTGACTTCTAACGAGGAACATGGCAAGTCTTCATTAGCTGTTATTGGAGCTGGTACGTTACCAACGAGGTACGCGCGAAGCAAGGACTTCTTTCTGTTTGACTTTACTGTTGATGTAAATGCATCTTCAATGTGAGTTTCTGCTTGTGAAGGACGATTATCTTTCGAGACTGCAGAAACCTCAAGGTTATCAACAGCCAATGAAGCTATTTCATCACCTGCAACCTACTTTTTCTTTGGTATTTTCCCGAGATGAGCGAGAGGCCGAATCGGATTCGTAAATTGGCTACGATACAGCTTTACAGGGGGTACAGCACAATCATGTACTACGCTCTCTACGTCACAAGCACTCAATTCAGACCTTAGACATTCGGTTTTTCGTTTCCCTAATGATTTGGGTTTGGATTTGCGTGGTAGGTTTGGTGTTGTTGTGGTTTGTGCCGATGACTTTTCAATAGCTTCATCACTTGAATCAACAATCGGTGGTGTCATTACAATTATATCATCATTTTGATCAACAATTGGTGAAAAAGTCGATAATTCGAGAATATTAGAAGCCAAAATCGACTGTAAATCAACTTGCTCAATATTCATATCCGTGGCACTTGATGTTTTCATGTCACATTCCGTTCCATCAATCAGCGAGGTATTTACAACCTGCTTTTTGTCTCCAAGGAATGACCTGTGGATTTTTCACCTGTAGCAGTTGATTCAAAACCTATTGTTGTTGTTGTTGTTGTTGTTGTTGCTGTTTTAGATGCTAGAAGAAAACGAGACCCGTTTTTCTCTGTTATGCAAATTTCTTTCTACTAACTTTCATTACCTATTGTATTAGTGTTATTAGCTTGTGCTGATTGATTATAAAGAGTGGCATAGTAAGCGTAAGGCATTCTCTCGTAGTATTCGAGAGGCAGAATAATCGTAGCAGTTCCTTGTTTCTTGACATTAATGTCATCCGTTTGTGTGCTCTTCTCGGTAGTGCACCACATAGTAGATTGAACATTCATGTTGCTGAAAAGGTTTGAATCAAAAAATGCAAAAATTATCAATCTTTTAGATGCAACAAACGAGTGTCAATTAGCTCCGCTGCATTCCAACAAAACTTTCTGTGATTAAAATTGACCACTGGAGTTCAAAAATCATGCAAACAAACAGCAGTTCTCAATAAAAGTGCTAAAAACTCAATGCTCTTTCGTGGATTTGAAATGCTTATCGGAAGTATTTCACTTCTGTTTCGTCGTGTTCAAGTCAGTAGCAGAATTCTTCATGATATTCTGAATCAATAGTCTTTGCGTCATGAACCTTTTATGCTTGTTATACACTTTAGATTTGGTACTATGTAAAACCTCAGAATCTGATATAAGTTTCCTAGACTTGTGCTAGTTCTCGTTCTTTTCTAAACCATTCATTGGTTCCTGAACTTCTTGGTTACATACTGAAGTTTCAATATACTCCCTGAGTGTTCATTTAAAAGTACTATCAACTATGGAAATCCTATTAGTTTTCCAAGAACTTATCTGAGTTTTAATCACTACTGTAGATCTCTATTAGTTTCTATGATATTTTCGAGTACATTGATGACTACAGATCTTTCGCAATCTGTTCCCTGAGTTTTTGCAACTCCTAACATTCAGATCTCATCATATCTCTATGGAAATGTTAAGTTCTAGTTGGATTCAAAGAACTCCTCGGATTTCTATCAGTTTCTGGAAAATATACAGATTTCTAGGTATTATCTGTATTTTTGGGAATATCAGAGGATTCTATGAGAACCCTTGATTTCAACAAAGTTTCTATAGATCTACAAAAGCTTATCTAGGAATTCGGTAGGTTTCTTGCAAATCTGAAACAATTAGGATATATTCAGTGGATGTTGCAGTAGAAATAACTAATTACTCAAGTAGTTATTACATGATGAATTCGACAGATGTTCAGGTTAATATGTAGGTGTCATCTCGAATAAAGAGATCGGAGAATTATACAGTGAATGACTTACCTTGAGAAAGCTGTTGAATAATACGAAGAAGATGAGGAAGTGTTAAATGAGATCAGAATGTGTGGGTGTGTTATACACTCAAATATTCAAATTAGATTCAAAGGAGAACACAACGTTTCGATCTTGCTTAAGGATCTCATCACGTATCTCTAGAATCCCAAAAACACATTATTATATAAAACGTAAAATCTTCATATAAGGAACATAACTAGATCATAAAGCAACTCCTAGAATCCTAATCAACAACAAAGATTATTTCATTAGAAGGACTTCTCTTTCGATTACAGTCAAAAAGAAATACATTATTATCGAGTTCGAAAGAAGTACCTTTAATTTGATGTCAGATCTAATATCGGGACATTTTACACGATGAGAGATTCATCTACTTCCAAATATGTGACATGTACTAATGAATTTCGTTCTTTTTCCTTTTTTTGAATGACATATGTATATGTAATTTTTTCGTTCTCCCCTCCTTATGAACATACTTATGTCTATATCGACATTTGCAGTATGAAGAAATGCTTAATGACTAATTATAATTACATTTGTAACTAAGCAGGGATACCCCGAACATTTGATCTTGTCATACAAGGCTCAGTCATTCATTGTTCTAATGTATTATATACAATAAAATGTCCAAATTGTTTTTCTTCTTATAAAGTTCAATCACTACTTATAATTACTTAATGTAATTAATTAAACCTTCAGCATCATTTTGTGATGAATTCATATCAATTGTTCGAATGTTTAATCAAAATCATCCTTTTTCACCAACCAAACAGGAAAACATTCATTTCATCAGTTAGACAGTCAACACTACTGTCTTACATATAGCATCGATAAACAAGACTATTCTTGGGTCAACGGAATCTGTACAAAAATTGTTATATCTGACTCGCATACGTAGAGTTTGTTTCATATATAACGAGAAATGAGTCAATCTATTTGCTGACTAAATATATAGATGAAGATAAATCACTTTCTTTCTTTCCTGTTTATTATACATACTATATGAAATGTTCGAACTCGGTAGCATCGTCTAAGCCATGTCGTTCTCTTTCCTTATAATAGTTAGACATACGTATATATATATATATATATATATACAAGTAACGCTCGTCGCTTGGACGCGCTTGACCCTCGACTGAATTGAATAGTTAAGACTACTTGTACTCTAACTCCTTGTTGAGCGAATTGGTACCAATGTCAGTTAAAACTAGACATCTGTTACAGTTCTATTATTATGATCTATAATATTAAAATGGTATAGTCAGTTTAGCCTTATTGTGAACCTCGGACTAGAATTATCACTGTTATCGACTAATTTCTAAAACAAGCTGCTGTCAAAAATAGCTTCCTAGAATTCTTCGTTTCTCATTGTGGTATTTAAAAAGCTGTACTTACTTCTTCAGCTAAAAACTGATAGAAAAATTAATTCTTTCAATGAAAAGTTATCGATAACGTAAAACGGTGTGTTCTCAAAGCTAAATTAGCTTGTAAAGTCGTTTCATGACACAAATATCACTCTTCCTTATAATGACTATAATATGAGATATGTAGCTTTCAACTGATATTGAGTGCTCGTGTTTATATTTGACTGCCTTCTATACAGTTCAATTAGAAAATATATTCATATCATAATGAGAAATAAGGGTAACCCTAACATCAAGTACAATATTGCTTTCGACGAATATCCTTTTGGTCAAATATATGGATTGGTTTAGCTGCCTGGCCACATAGAATGATTCTATGAGTACTATGATTTAGAATTATTGCAAAGGATATTAAAATTGAAAATTTGATGAGCAGACATGCGACAAATATATTCAATGTATGACCAAACTGAACAATGAAATAGATATTAAAACAGGCAGATATCTATATCTAGCGCATACCAATCAAAAGTATGGTTAACCACACTGTAAAAAAAATCGTAGATTAATAAACCATAAAATGGTTTGTGATACGTTGCACTTTAATAAACCCTTATAAGGGTTTATGAAAACCATAAACCCTATCATAAACCCTTCAAAAGGGTTTATAGGAGGGTATATAGAAGGGTTTAGTATCTTACTAAACCCTTTCAAATACCCTTCTAACAGGTTTATGGAAACTTACTTTTAGCCAAAAATCATGTTCAGTTTCATGAGCCATTGAAGCAAACCTATTCGAATAAAATTAAAAACATTATTTTTTTAAAATAATAATTGCCTATGATTTTGAATTTGTTTTTCACTATAAGAATAAAAATAAGAATTATTAATTGGAAATTATACTTACTTGTGATTGCGATTCCGAATTTTGAGCTAAAACAACAAAACTAAGAATTGTTTAATGAAAAATTATAATTACTTACTTGCGATTATGATTTCAAATTTTGAACTAAAACATAAAAATAATTATTATTGAAGGAAAAATTATAGTTACTTGTGGCTGCGATCTCGAATTGTGAACTAAAATAATAAAAATAAGAATCATTGATAAAAAAATTATGCTTACCTTCGATTTTGAAGTTGCTTCTTCACTAAAAACATAACCATAAGAATTATTTAATAAAAAAAGTATACTTACTTGGGATTACGATTTCAAATTTTGAACTAAAAAGATAAAAATAAAAATTATTTAAGGAAAAATTATACTCACATTCGATTTTGAATTTGTTTTTTCACTAAAAGAATAAAAATATGAATTATTGAAAGAAAATGATACTTACGTTTGATTTTGAAGTTGTTGCTACACTAAAAGAATGAAAATAATAATTGTTTAATGAAAACTATACATACTTGTGATTGCAATTTCGAATTTTGAACTAAAGCCATAAAAATAATAATTTTTCTGTGAAAAATTGTACTCACGTTCGATTTTGAATTTAAAATTGACTAAAAGAAAACAAAAAGAATAATTCAGATACAAAAATTTTACTTAACTAGAATCTCCACTTCTATGTTTAACTAAAACATTAAAAGCAATAATTTTAAGAAAAAAATATACTTGCTTACGATTTTCAGTTCTAAATAGAACTAAAGGATGAAACAATAATTAAAATATAAAGATTTTACTTACCTAGAATTTTCAATGTGAAATTGGACTAAAAGATTAAGAACAATAATTTTAATAAAAACTACTATATTTACCTACGGTTCTCAATTTTCTTTCCTATCCAACTAAAAGGCTGGAAAAAAATAAGCATATATAAAAAGTAATGCTTCGATTTGATCGGATCGATTTGAAAATGCTAAATCAAAAGCGGTTGATTCAAAAAAAATAATAATTGCATGCAATGTTTTAAATTACTGATGAAATTCTTCAAGATTTATGAATAAATACTTACGTTTCTTTTTATAGAAGCCTCATCTACATAAAACAAAGTTTCATTTTGTTTTTCAGGTTGATCTAACTAATCGAGAATGATAATCTTTTAATGTGAGATTACAAGCTATTGCAACATAGAGAGAGATAAAGTTATGCAGTGTGTTTTTCATTAATCTATGTTTCTATTGTACGACTTCCTATCTAATCACAAAAATACTTTATTAATACGTGTCATCAACCAGAAAAACCAAAATCGTTTTGATATATATGTATAACGTGTCCAATTTGAATTTTTTTAGTGCAAAACGTATTTCATGAAAGGGTAAAATAATAAACCCTTCGCCGTAGAATAAGAAACCCTTTAATGCAACAGTATAATAATAAACCCTTCACCATAGAATAAGAAACCCTTCAATGCAAGAGTATAATAATAAACCCTTCCCGTAGAATAATAAACCCTTCGTCGTAGATTCACAAACCCTTCCCCTTAAATTCTGGTGCAATAAACCCTTTTTATTTTCAAATACCCTTATTTTCATAAACGCTTCAGGCAATAAACGGTTTTAGACTTTCGGAAAAAAACATAAACCCTTTAAGGGTTTATGAAACCTTTTTTTAGTACTAGGGTTTAGTATTCTACGATTTTTTTTACAGTGCATATGAGAGCAACGCTAATATGTACAAGACATTGCAGAAAAAAAAAGGTTTACATGTGAAAAACATTGAGTTAATAGATAAAAAGAATATTATATAGAAAGAAAAACAGACAAGTAACGTGAATCGAAAATCGATTCACTGGGCCCTAGACTGGCAGAACTCACACATGCAAATATATGAACAGCCCACTTCGTCGGCTGTTTCAACTAGATTCTGAAATTTCCCAAAAAGTTGACTGGATGAGTTCAACCGAAACAAGGAAGACAAAGGGCGAATAAGTGAAAGTTGGGTACCAATCAGACGAAAATGAAACATTTCCAAGAACAATAAATAGAAAAACGCAGCCAAAATAAGCGTGAAATACAGGTGCGAAACCGTGGCTTAACCAAGATATTACTCCTGGTAGGGGAGGGGGCGCTCTCAGCCTCCTCATTAATAGAATACACTGTTAACAGTTCTCGTTAGGAGCTTACATATTTTTGACATGGGAAAGAGGTTGAGTTTCACTTAGGAACTGGATCACACCATTAGAAAATTTAGCGATGGAGGCATCAAAGTTCCTTATAGGAACTCCGGCTGCCCCCTTCGCTTGCTTCATCATTACAAGTGACTATTCGGCGTGTTGCCTCAGTGGATCCGCCAATGATAAGCGCTATGGAAATGGTCATTAGTGCCACAAAAATGGTCGTTTGAGCCATAGAAATGGTAATTCTTACCAATACCTTGTTACAGGCAAACAGATACAGGTGAATTCCGATTTCTAGACCCTATAACCATTCGGTCTAGGGAATATTTGAAAGACAGGAAAATATTACGTTATTTCTTTGAAAATTAGTTAGAAAAAAAATGCTAAAAAATAGAACCAAGCATGTGGCTACAAAATCCACTAAAAGGTCGAAGTTACCTCGGAGCCTAGATCAAAATACTCAAACAATGATGTCACCGATCCACACACAGATGTCACCAATATGATAAAAACTCGATTTCGTTTTTTTTTCAAAAATCGGCTTTTCTGAGGGGGGGCTTAAAGAATCCAGTGAAATAAAGTAATTTATTCAAACATGAACATCAATATGCATCATGTCGTAGAGCTTTTTGAGACATCCCTAATCGGGTATAGTAAATCTGTTTCAAATGAGTTCGAAGGAACTATAGTTCATTCACTGATACACAACTGCATATCAACTGACCACCATCAGTTTCCTATTGTAAAATACAAGATGACCAGAAATGCTACGTACTTTTCGTTATAGGCAGTCAGAAAATCTTATATGAGATGAAATATTTTGCAAATACTCATTATTCAGTAACTCATCATGCTTTGATGTAGGTGCTTAATCCGTCTATTGGTAAATCGACTCTAGTTCTCTTGAACTCTTATGAAACAGAATTTACTACATCCCATTCGGCACCTCTCAAAATCTTGACAAACGACTTACATGTGAGTTTTTATTTCTGAAGAAATCACCTTATTTGACTGGGTCGTTTTAACATGTTGGTCACTAATTACTTTTGGTCGACTTCACGCAAAAAGGTTCATATAATGAAAATATATCAGTAATAATCAATTTCACTTCTTATGATAAATCTCTACGGTAATATTATATATGCTTGCTCCTTCTTTTCGTTTTTTTTGTTTAAATATGTATCTATCAATACTAAAGGTGAAAGAAAAACCTCAGTATGAAAAACATTTTTCTGATTCTATCAAAGGTTACATAGGAAATGATTCCCTATTCTGTAAGCAAAACTACATCTGAACTTTCTGAAAATATGAGGAAAATGTTGATTTCATTCTTTAAATTCAGTTCGATTTCTTTTCAACTTGAGATCGATTAAGATTCAAGTAAGATTATTCTCATAGACTATTTCTATAAATTTGAGTATTCTAAATCTATTTTGAAATAAGAAACGATCGAGACATTTAATATATACTATAGATTTTCGAATTAACTTGATTTCAGTGAACTAGAAAAAAGATATTACCTGCTATAAAATTAGAAATCAACTATTTATTTTTAGCTACTTTATTCTTCTAAAATTTTAGGTGATAGTGGTGTTGGTAAAACATCTTTATTTCGTGTTCTTCATTCAATATGGCCAGTCAAGATAAGCGGATCGTTTTCATATGAACCTACCAGATACCGAAATCGAATCAAATTGCCGAATAATTCGACTCGATTCGCCCCAGACGAATCGAATCGATTCCGAATGGAACTTCAAAACTACCGAATCAAATCGAATGATACTTCTAGAAAAGAGGTCGAATCGAATCGATTCGTTTTTTTTCAGTTTCATTCGGCTATTGAAAATCATTTTCTTTGTTCTGGTGTTATGGTCGAGGGCAGTTGGCTAGTATAAGAGATGACGCATGAAAAAGGACGTCCACTGTTTCTCTTTCTTTGTCTCTGTCAGTCGTGCTTATTTAATGGTCATCCCTGTTCTGTTCATATCGCTATCATGGTCAAGTGCATTTTGATTGACATAAGAAATGCTCACTTACAACGAGCGTTCCATCTTTCTTTCCTTCTTTTTTTTTTCGTTAGTCAATTTAGGCTCCAATCACACTGAGAAGTAAATTAACATTATAGTTGAATTAAGCCATGTGACTGGTGCATTAAGAGTTAAGTAATACTTTAGAGGTGATTTTAACTCTTAATGTATCAATTAGATTACTGAATAAGACTTTAACTTTATTCACATTTCCAGTGCGATTGGGGTCTTGATATCAAACTCTTTATTTATTAAGTATGGCTACGGTCAACTGTAAATATAGATCCATATACAGTAAATGATATTATTTTTCTTCGTTCTATAGAAAATAAACTTATTTAATTAGTCTACTTAGATGTGTTCATTAATTTATATTTTATGTTCTTTCTTGAAAAAAATGAATAATTCTTATGTATATCTTCATAAATTATATTTATTCAACATATTTCTATAGAAGATCGACAGACTATTCTCATTCTAAGACGATGACAGTCTGAAAACAACAATACTATGTAATAGTGAATGCCATATTTTGTAAACCCAATTTGAGTCGAACCGAGTCGAATCGAATGGCACTTTTGTCATCGGTTTCGGTCTCTGGTTGGGGTAAATTTTTAATTGTGTTTTTAAGTTCTATTAAAGAAATATACGTATTACTATTTGACTTTTTCTATTGAATAGAAATCTCTGTTCAAGTTTATGAATCACTAAGATTGTCCGAGTATAGATTTTATATCAAAGACACAAAATCTTCGCTATAAATAGCAATCAGTTACAATTGTAAAAGCTTCACGATGAATGAAAGTCGTTGATAAATGAATAGTTTTTGCTTCACTAAATAATGCTAAAGTATTCGATTTAGCTTGCTTCAACTGATGCTTGATCAGTTACGACATTTGTCAAATTGTGTTGCTCAGTAGGTCATGTCAAATTCTTTTCCAATACAATCCATGATATCACGTCCACCTAAACGAAGTCTAACAAGTGTCTCTAAGAACATAAAATAAGAACTACGATACATAATAACAAAAGAATGCTACAGTGTTTATTATTAATGTGCCACAGAAACTATTTGTACCAACCATTGTAGTTTCATTTTCATTTGTTAGTAAGTTGTATGATATTCTTGTAACGTAAAATAGTGTTCATGCGCAAATTGAGAATATAGTAAAAGTCACTCGAACAAAAGATACACTATCTTGATCATTAATCTGATTATCAATAAGATCGGTTGTACGCAGTGTCTGAAAAAGAAAGACAGCAAATGAAAGAGAAACGGAATCAAAGTTGTAATTACTGTGTTGATTTGTACTGCCCTAACTAAACTATGTAATCCTGCATATTCAATACGATTTTCTTTCAGATTCAGCACAGTGACTGTCTGAAAAATCGTTAGATGACAAGGAAGAACTACCGTGTTATGAATTAATGCGTCAGTTAAGTACCTTGCTCCATGATGTCCGATATTATTGTCAAGCAGTTCCAGCTTGTTGAGTGTCTATCAAGCTTCAAGTAGAAACAAAAAAAAATTATGCTAGTCAAATTACGTTGTTATATTGTATTGCATTCGCAATATGTTGAATGCCACTGTCACCAATTCTAATATAACTAAGATAAAGTGTTTTGAGAGTCTACGAACGTACAGAATGCTCATGCAAAAATTAAAGAAACAATGATAATTACTTTATTATTTCTCAATTCTTGAGCCAGTTATTCAACTTCTTCGCCACCGATGTTCTCAGTGCTTAGATTCAAATCAGTTATTGCCTGTATGTGTAGAAATGATGTAGTATATATACAAATTATAAGAATAAGCTCTAAAATACTTTATCGATCCGTAGTTGAATTATTTCTCCGATAACAGTTAAATAAGCATCCATATTTTTTCTTAGATTAAGTTTCATCAGCGTCTATGAGAATACAAAATAAATAATAGAAAGATCAATGAACAATCACCGTATTATCATGAAATCCAAAAGCCAAATGTAATGATCCAATCTTACTGATCTGATTTCCTTTCAGATTTAATGTTTTTAATGTCTATCAATGAAATAAAAAAAATAATAGTAACTTAAGATCACCATGCTATTTACTTGTACAAAGAAGAGACGATACGCTCCTTCGTCACGGATTGCATTGTATCCAAGGTCGAATTTAATGAGTGTCTACACAATAATATTAACGTTTTTGAACAATAAAGAATGTTTGACTGTCACATGATTATATTTTTAATGCGTTAGTTAGCACGGTTTTATGACGCAGTTTGTCTGCCAGGTATTTGACTTAGTCATTACCGATTTCATTTTGCTGAAAGCTCAATGTGGTAATTTTCTATGAGAATGCGATATTCAGTGAAGAAAAAACGAATCGAACAAAATTTCACACTGTGTTATGTAGCAACGCGTCAGTCAGATGTTTCATTTCATTTGCTCGTATGCAATTCTGTAAGATTAACACTTTGGTAAGAAGATCGATGGTCATAAATATGAGATACCATGTTATTTTTCAAAGCTCCAGCAAAATATTTCATTCCTTTATCTTCAATATGGTTACCGAATAGATCCGGATTAATCAATGTCTAAAATCATTATTTTATTCAATATGGATTGATTATCGAATCGATGTAAAATACCGTATTGTTTCTCAATACAGCAGCTAGACGAAATGCTCCTTTGTGGCAAATTTCGTTATATCTAAGACTTAACTTTCGAAGTGTCTGTAAAAGAAAAAAAATCAAAGTCGATCAAATAAAAATGTGTATATCGATTACTTTATTGTTTTGTAATCTATTAGCTATAGGATACACTCGCTTATCGCCAATATCATTTCCGTCAAGTTGTAACGTAGTGAGACTCTATTGTAAGGATGTCATGCTATATTTTGAAAAAAGATTATCAATTCTAATATTCTCATACTTTATTATTTCGAATTTCTATTTCTGCTCCGATGGCTACGTAAATCCGACCAATATTTCGTCTCAGATCGAGTTCTACTAATGTCTATGAAAATAAGATAAAAACTGATGCGACCTATAAAACGCTAGTTAAAAATTATCGTCTTCTCTCGTAACACGTTAGCCAGATGCTCTGCTCCGGTATCGCCGATCTGATTTTCTCTAAGGTTGAGTGATCTTAACGCCTGTAAGATGAATGAAAAAATGATTATTAGAAAAACGACTGATGAATTATGAATACCGTATCATTTTGTAATGCTTTAGCGAGATATTCTGCATTTTTGTCATCGACGTCGCCACGACTAAGATCGATTGTCGTGGGTGACTGCATTGGAAAGAACAATCACATAGAAAATTTTTCTGGTCAAAGAAAATGACTTTATTTTTCTTTATTGTAATCACTGTTTCTAGTACTGCTCCATTGGGCGTAAAATTTTGTTTTAATTTAAGACTTTTGAGTGTCTGCACAAATCTCAAAATGTACACGAATTACACATATAAATATACTTGCTGTATTATTTTCTAAGAAACTATTAGTCGACGAAAAACGTTTCGCACGGTAACTATATTGTTTATTTTATTTTGCCCTTTATAAGGATATTTAAAAACATATACTGCTCTTAATTCCTTCATTACTCATATTCATCTTTTTGTATTTCTTTAAACTTTCTTTTTAAATTGATTAAATACTAAAATCATTAAAAAGGCGACATTTGATACGTTTCTTCCTTACTCAGAGATGAAGCAAGCAACCAAGAAGACATTATGAATATATTACATGTGTATAATCTCTCTCACTCTCTCTATATATATGTGCATTGTACTATAATTTTATTCATTGAAATAAAATAAAATATTCATCGCAACACGAACAAAATTGTTTTCATTGACTAATTTTTTAATGATGTATATTCTCAACTGTTCCGATCAATAAACACTTCAAAACTAGCACGTTTATAATTACATATGATTATTCGATTCATAGAAATATTCACAATATAAATAAAACAATATTCAAAAAAACAACTAACCGTAAACTTTCATCTCGGTGAGTAAATCTCTGTCTAAAATAATAATATCGAATAGTAGTTCTATGTACATATTAACATTTACGTAATATTTGTCATAGATTAAATTGATATTAACCGCATTTTTCTAGAATAAGTATCTTGTTTTTTTTCAAACTTCTTATTCGTCTTTAATGTGTCATATGCATATTCACTTCCTCTTTTTTTATGCAAACAATTATTCATTTTTCTAGTTATCTTACATTCGATAAGCAATATATATATATATATATAGAATCTATTTTGTTTTTCATAAGACTAATCAAAACACTTTTTAACAATTATTTTACTTGTTTTTATAAAAATACATTTTAAAATAGAGATTATATGAATTATTCGATAAATAGATTGAATACTAAATAAGAGAACAACATATATTTCGTTCCTATTTGATTAAAATGATTAGCTAAGCTTAAAAATAATAATTTTGTTTTTGTTTTTAAAATATTTACCTAAAATTGTCACTGTTAAAATGACAATAGTTTATTCAAAATAAATCTATTTAATTTAAAAATAGGTAAATACAGGTTCATTTGAACAAAGACTATTTAAATAGATCTAAACATATAAATATAAATATGATTAAAGTTAATAATAATATATATTCAAGAAAATTACTTTTTATGTAAAAATTTTTAATATTCAAAATGAAAAACTTCAATTTATATTTTGCTAAAACAATATTATTTAAATTAATCAAAATTTAATATTCAACATTAAATATCTAATCTGTTTTAAATTATTATTAGAGAACGTTTTCATGAATAATTATTTATTGAATTTTATTTAAATATTACAATAGTCAATATAACGATGATATGCAGTTATATATTATATCAAACAAATAAAATTATAAATGCATTTACACATAATATTATCAAAGCTGAATATTATTTTATTCGTCAATTCTCTCTTCAGTTTCAATCGAGAAAAAAAGAATATTTTATTTGAAATATCTGTTTGAATGAAAATATCTAAACAATTGATTTGTTTTGATTCTGTTGAACTATTTATTAAAAGAATCTAATTATTTTCAAATCTAAAAAGAGTCAAATCAGAAACAATACATTATGATAACAAAGTAAAATCTTTCACGATATATAAATAAATATTATTCATGGAAATTTTATCGATCTATTTGAACAAATTTAGACTATTTATTGAATTTTATTTTAATAAATCCATAAAAAAATTATTAATCAAAGTCAATAATAATAAAGATTAAAATCGAACGATTATCTTGAATTTGGTCGAAAAGAAAAATGTCGAAACTGAGATGATACTTCCATACTTTTTTTTTTCTTCGTGAAAATGAATCAGCCAGTAGACTGAATTAAAACACAACGTTTACTATTAAAAGAAGTCTAAAACGTTTTTTGGGAATGATTGTTAATACATCTTTAAACAATGTTCTATCTGCTTGATTAAAACTTCTTTTTTACCACAATTGAATACAAACTGTAATGCTGTTGTTCTTGTGTCTTTCAGCTTCGGTGCACCAGATGGTTATTCAAGTTTATACCTTTTTTATTCGAATTAATGAAATATCAATCATCGCTGATGATAGATATTGAATCAGAAGGGGCTATCAGTTTTATTTTGTTTCTCGAATAATGAATGATTGACGATTCTTATTCGTATTCTTCTTTGTCCATTTCTTTGTACTGAATGAACAATAGTGTGATAGATAGATCATAAATTTTCAATAAGATAAGTCAATATTCGTCGTGAAATAACGACATCTTCATCACACACTTTTCCAAACCGTCTTCATTTAAAATTTCCTTTTTTACAACAAGGTTTTATTGCAATGTTCGTATTTTCGACATTCTTGCTTTCGACCAAATTCAAGTTTACCACACGCGCATTAAGAAGAGAATCGAATGCATTCAACATCGAATGGTTATTCAAGAAGTGCTAAAAGACGAAAATGTTTTTATATAAAATTAACTCATTTTATCTATTTTTTAAATATTTAGTGCGATTAATGTGTACCGATTTAACATGAGATATTGAAAAAAATTCTGATGAAAATATGCCCAATAAATATCAGTTGAGTTGGCATAAAATATAAAGAATTTTAATTTATCTGTTTCTATTAGATTGTCGGATGTAAAAGATTCATGTCGGATTGAATATTATGCACACTTTATTCAATTTAATGTTCAACAATTAAAAAAATAGGTAATGAAAATTTTGGCATGGTTACTTTAACTCAACTTGAACATAGACCAGATGTGATTTTTGCATGTAAACTTAGTTTAAATCGAATTAATTTTATAGAAAAAAACATAATAATAATATTTCTTTAGACAATGACACTTGAAAATCATGGAAATAATAGTTATTCATCAGAAAGTGATTCAAAAGCAATGAGAACAGTTGGAAATGATCGCCATCCGCATATAGTTCATTTTTTTGTGTTGCTCGTATTGATTTAATTGAAGGGCAATTAATTATTTGTATGGAAGTTCTTGATAGATTTTATCCTATTCTTCATTCATGTTTTAAGCCAACTAATATCGTATTAGATTTATTTATACGAAGATTAGCAAAACGTGTTTGTTCTGTTTTTATTTTATTGACAACGAATTCGTTTAGATTATTTTAGCACTTGATTACCTTAAATCAAAAAATTTAATTCATCGAGATATAAAAACACAAAATATTTTAGTTGGATGCCACGCCAATCAGTATTTTAATTATGTGATTTTGGAATATATGGAACTTTGAAAGATTCTCTGTCATCAATTCATCGTGGATCATTAGCAGGGTTGCCACCTCTTCCGCTTTTTCCGCTGTTCCACTTTTTCCCGCTTTTTCGTATGAAACGTGTTGCATATCAAGCATGAGGACAGAATAATATTTAATATTATTGAATCAATTCTTATTGTTTACAAATGCCGTGAGTCATGATTCTTTTATGTTTGAAACTTTGATGAAATAAAAAGAAATCCAATAAATATGAAAGAATGCCGAATATTATCAGAAGCATTACAAATCTGGAACAATATAAACTTCCGCCCTTTTTCCACTTTTTCTGTTTTTCTTTCCACTATTTTCCGCCTTTTAGACTTCATTAGGTCGCAACCATGTACGGAAGTCTCTATTTTCCCCCTTGAATAATGAGAATAGAAAAGCGAACTGCGTAATTATTTACTATTTATAATTGTTCCAGAAAAGACAACTGAATTTTCCTATAAACAAAAAAAAAGTTGAAAAACTGTAACTTATGAATACCTTATTCTTGTTACATGATTAGCCGTGAAAATTCCTATTAGATAATTCTGAATTATCTTGGTATTGTTTGCAGTGCTTTTTATGTTTCTTTAATTCATTTTCGAATAGGTGTTTGACATTTTTGTGAATATTTACTTATTGATATTCAAATTCTTTCATTTGTACAGGGACGGCGCGAAGCAACATAAATATAGGGGGGTTACTTGAAAACGGGAGGTTTTTTTTTCAAAAATCGGAGTAAATTAATAAAAATCTCTTCTATTTTCTTCAAGTCGGAGTAAAATTGAAACAAAAATTTCCAAAGTTGGGGGGAACGCCGTCCCTGCATTTGTAACTGTTTACCAATTATCAACTACAGTAATAGACTCATCCGATTGCTTTTTTAAAGTTTATTCTGTTTTAAAATGTTCGAGCAAAATAATTTCCCGTTAGCTGTAGGGGTGTTACTTTATCTTTATTGATCTTTATATTAAAGAATGAAGATAAATGAAATCTTTATATTTATAAAATAAAGATAAATATAATCTTTATTTGTAAAAAGAAAGTTAAAATAAAGAAAAAAGAAAGATTTTCTGCAGTCACTGGTAAATAGATAAATAATTTGTATAACAACAGAAAACATTGATTGCAGTTCTTGTTTATCATCGCTGACATTGCAGCATGAAATAATACCAGCAAATGAAGGTGAGGCATAAATCATTTATGGAAAATATCTATTGTTCAAAATTTTTTTAGCCTTGAACTTCTGAATTTTCTTCGAGCTATCCGGAGAAGATCAAATTTTGGGCTTTTAAGGAAAAACACTTTTCTTTATTCTTTATTTTATCGTTATTAAATAAAGATAAAGCTACTTTTTCTTTCTTTTATAAAATAAAGATCAAGATTATCGTTATCTTTACTTTATAAATATAAATATTTAATTTATCTTTATTTTTTAAAGAATAAAGATTTCATTTATCTTTAGTTTTTAAATATAAAGGTTTTATTTATCTTTAAAAAATAAAGTAAATATAAAGTAACACCCTTAATCAGCTGCTTGTATAATATGATCCGAAGAAATTGCGTAGATTTATTTAGTATTATTGTATGGCCTGTTTTCACTTGTTGAGATTTAACAAATTTTATTGATATTGAAATGGTTGCTTTCCATGCTTTAACTCATACAGATTTTTCTTAATCAAAAAGAAACTTTGAATAATAATGAGTAGATTTTAAATCTATAAACGATAGTTCATCGTTTACAATCATACGAAATATACAACGTCCTGAAGGTCCGTAAGAACAAAATGCTATAATATCCTCTGTGAAATCTATAAGTTTTTTGATAAATACCTGTTACCACAAATATTTCAGTACAATTTACTTTTATTAGTATTGAAATTTGAGTTCGTTCCCGTTTGGAACCAAAAAATAGTAGTTGAATTTAGCAAGCAGACGCCAGATGAAGACTATATGTGAGATATTTTTCTAGTCGTTTGTAAAAACTAGTGCAGTAGCAAATTGATTAAGTTATCAAACGTTTTTATAATCCGTTTTTTTAAATAGAAGACGCTTAAAATGAAGCGATCCGTTTATACTTTCGACTTGAAACTCTAAATAGATGTGTCTTAAATCACAACCCAGAAAATTTCGCTAATCTAACTCATTTTTTATTCGATATTTTCAAGATTTTTTAAATAGACAAAAGAAATATATTTTTCTTCTATTACGTCTAAAAACGCGAATAAATAAAATTTTCAATTTTACACTAATATTATAGGTTTTTGGCTCTATTAATATGACACAAAATAATTCATACGAACTTGTACATAAGGGAATATTTATAGGATAAGATCTACAAACACGAATTTATACATTTTGACGTGAATTAAATACATTAAATAGGTTAACTACGTTTTAGAAGTTGAACGACATTTATTTTGCTTATTAAAGTTTTATAAAAAAAGCCATCATATGCAACATGTCATCGAGTACAGAAGGCACTGAATTTTCCATTGCCCGCTTTTGGTACACAACAGTCAAAATTAGCAGGCTTTGATTGTCGAATATAATGCATTGCAAAGAAATCATTTTGAATCCAAAGAAATTTATTTAACGCAAGAATAACTGATTTTTTCTTTTGGGCAGCAATTTGTTCGTTTGATAAAATAACGTCAAGGAGAATATGTTCAACATAAGCAAAAAGAATATTAATGTGAATATAATCAATATCAACTGATTCTGAACCGGCCATTTTTGTGTGAATTTTTCCAACATGAGATAAATATTCTAGAAATGCATCATTCCAAACTTTTTGTCTTAAAACTCTTTTAAAATATTTAGAAAGAGCTGTTCGGCGAAATATCATTTGTTCAGATTCTAATGTTAATTCAGATTCATTAACGGGTACAGCGCCTGTAAAGCCAAAATGACGCATTACAAAATAACGTTTTGTAATGTCAAAATCGAGTACTTTTTGAAATATTTGATCAACTATTATTGGAATAAGTGGAACGGCAAGCCTACCCAAATCATTAAGAGCAGCAATATCATCTGTCGTAAACTTGATAAATTTTGATAAATACTCGAAACGATTTCGAAGACTATTTTCAATTAAGCTTTTATCGATGTGTTCAGTCATATTATGCGGTGTTGATTTCAGATGGTTGCTAAATAAAAAATGAAATGAAGTAAAGCATTACAAATTCTGTCTACTATTTAAGTATATCATTTTCTCGTTTCTGTCGCTTCAAAACATGTGAATGCAAAGTAACCAGACAGAAAATTATCCAACGACAAGATAAATTCTTAGAGAAAAAAACTTTGAAGAAAAATGGATTTTTTTGAGGTGAAGGTCGATGATATTTAATTATTTTTGTCATTATCAGTTTGTCTCTTCGATTCTATTTCTGAAAATTTTCAGCACAACAGTTTTTTAGTTAACAGTTCGAAATGCAACGCTCCTGCTGCTTCTGAAATTTCTACGCGCTCTGCCTTTCTCTCTCTTTCTCGTGGTCATCAGTCAGCCCAATATGCATCCAGGTGACGTAGGATCCAGCACTTTGCTCAATATTGTAATATTTTAATAAAAGATAAATTTTCTATGCACGTCTTCGTCTTATTTTCGATTTTATGAAAAAAATAGTTTGCTGGCATATAGCTGATCATACATCATTTAATACACCGGATTGATGTCATGCTTATCATTTATTCTGCTCTACAACTACCGCTCAAATTAGTGTCAATAGCGAAACTAAAACAGTCATTGAGCAAATTGTCTCATAAAATAAGGACAAAAATCAATTAAAATATGATTATAAGCTAAAACAAAAACCATTATTATCGGTTTTGCAACGAAAAAAATCCGATTATTGTGCATCCTTTTTTCGATGAGATAATTATCTATACTAATTCTCCACTAAATCTTAATTAATTTTAATCTGTTAATTGTTTATTAGTCGATGTTTATCATATATATATATATATAGACATTAAGCGCTTTTATCGAGATTAGAACGTTTAATCCAAATGCTCCTAGTTTTTTCAAAATTATTTGTGTTCAGGAAACATGACATTGCCTCCACTAAGTTAAAACCCGGCAAATAGAATAAACTGAGATGGCCTAAATGATATCGGTTAACTGCGCAAAATAAATTTTTTGTTCGGTAATACTCCGAAAATAAAATAAACTCGGAACTTATCATTCATAACGATTGATTTAAACTTGAGTTTTCGATCTTCAGTAAATATTCCCTACTAATTTAACATTCTTCTAATCAGTATTAATAGATTTTTTTATGGTAAAATCTAGTTTAACAGAGGTTGAATATGAAATCGATTCTTTAGATGGCATAGGAAAAAAAACGATTTTTGCAAATTTTTAACAGTTTTATTTACATTATACGTTGCCAATAAAAATAAGTTGGACCGAAAGAAAATGTTAAAAAGAACTAATGAATGTGTGACGTTAAAGTCACAAGGTTGTTATTGTTGACAAGTGAAGGAAAAAATAGCCATTAATTTATGTCAAGGGTATGGCAAAAAGGAGATTTTTGACTTTCGATCTGCGCTGATTAACCTTTCCTGACTAGGGGTGTCAATTTACAGTTTATTTTATTTAAATTTAACTTTTTGAAAATTTATGTCTCGATTTAATAAATTTTTTAAAATTAAAATGTGACACCCCTATTCCTGAGTAATTCTTATTTTGTCGCGAACGTAAGCAATGATAATTATTCGTGCACGACATGACGAAGACAAAAGTGAAATAAGGAAAAACAGAAAGCGTATCAGATAAACAACAGTTAACACTACTGATTAACAAAAATTCTTTAAGATATTCGACGTGTTTTGCTAAACATAAGAAGAGAATCCGATATAATCTCTTTTTTCATGACAATAAAAAATTTTCTTTGTGTTAAAATTACTTTGGATTTGAGGATGTGAGTGATGGAGTACAAATTTTCGAAAGCTATCCTTGTTATCATTCCTTATATGTCACAAACTAACATTGATCATCAAGTGCAGACAAAATTCAGCGCTACAGAAAGAAGAAAGAAATGTTGCCTGTCTGGAAAACGATTTGTTTCATAAGAGTAGCAAAAGTACACGTCTTTTCCACCTTATTCTTTTGCTTTATATATCTATCGATTTATTAATGGCATCTCGCTGATTTTCTTTCAGGCTGTTTCTTTTGGCAAGAATAAAAGTTAACACTGTATTAAAATTTAACGCAAAAAAGGTTAATATGTTCTTCCATGTTTAATATATGAGGTCTACGAAACAAAAATAAATCAAATATTTTTAATGTTTGGCTATCACTACCAGAGAGTAAAAGACTCGCACCTACACCCTTTATTGATAAAAAGAATAAATTACGAAACAAGTCTCTCAATAGATACACTCGTCTTCTCCAATTTCACAATCCATTATTTCAGCGCAGCCGAAGAATTCATTAAAAAACATGAACCCAGGAACAAACTGAAACTTAATGCTGCTCAATCTAGAATCAGATGCACTCGTCTTACACGGAAAGCCTTGAGGCGTACGTTAAATTCCATTGATCTCAAAAAAGGATTTACAGAGATTGGATCTATTTGAACAGATTGTTCTATTGTATCACTTCAAACGTTACCTGACTATGTTGATGATCATACTAAAGAATCTCATCAAATGCAACCTAATGTTCATAATGATGTCATTCAAAATCATATTACAAACGAAGCGAACCTGGCCAATCAATAACACACACAAGTGATGCTAAAGAATGGTGGTAAACAATTGAAGTGAGATGAATTATGAAAAAAAAACTATTATATTTATGTAGCTTACGTAAATTTATGTTTTTTGATTTTCATCCCTCGTCAATTCGAAATTGCGAATTGAACTTAAAAAATAAATATTTATCTCAAGACTTCTAAAACTTTCTGTCAACATAGACTCTATGTTCCAAATAGAAAGCCCCCCTTTAAAATTTCATCTTTGTCATTATATAAAACTCTGGGTCTTTTATTCCCGGAGGGGGTTTACTTTCAAAGCTGATTAACTATATGTATTATCTGTGTTCGGCTTCTCGTTCTGATTGTAAGTATGCAAACGACTACAAGGCTTGTTCATAGGTAACGTACTTATCGGTTTCTTTTCGCAAACACTTAGAGACTATGGCTTTTACAGCTATTATTACCATAAATGGAGGTTCAATGATAGCAAAATATAACTCAACCTTCCAGTAGCTGCCTAATCCGACTTCGAATATAAATAGAAAAAAACTACTTTCATGTTTTCACGCCACCGTCGAGAAAAGATTTAGCTTTTATAAATTATAAAATTTATAAATTGATTCCACTCCCATTTATAATTGATTAGATGCGTTCCGAGAGCATCTCCGGAAACTCGATTAAGTGCTAGGGAATCAAACCTCGCAGATATAATAGATATAGAGATATGCAGCATATAGGGGGTCTAGGGGATCTAGGAGTTATAGGAGGTACAGGAGATATAGGAGTTATAGTTGACATATGAGTTATAGGAGATATAGGAGATTACTAAATAACGAGCAAGATTCAACAAATAAATATTGATATCAGTAATATCTGTGACAGAAAATTTTATTTTAGTTGAGTCATAATTAAATTAAATTAAGAGATGAAAGAGAAAAGAAATATAACTCATATATCTCCTATAATCCCTATAACTCCTGTACCCCCTAGACCTAGTAGCGTAACCAAGAATTCTCTCGTGGTAGGGCGGCGTCCTACCACTTTAAAAGTTCCATCCACCACTATAACTTAGATTTTTTCGGCGGCTGAAAACAGATCCTCAAGTTCTACCTTCTCAAAAAAAGGATAACTCAATGTATCTATACTATTATATTACGTGAATTTATGTGAATAATAAATTTCAACAATATTCGACTATTTTGTACTTAATGGCAAAGCATCGATTATTTTTTCATTATCAACAACAAAATTTCTTTCAAAGGCTAATAAAGACAAGTGACTCAGTATATCGTCGCAGATACTGCCCAGTCAGACAATTCTCTTTAAAAAACGCGTTAAAATTTCATGAGAACGCTGTTTTAACGGTAATTTAGCGTTAAAACGCCGTTTTAACGGTTTTGTTAACGCATTGTATGTTCCTCGGTACGTCAAAATGCGTAAAAATATTTAGCCTTTCAACGTTTTTACGCGTATATGGCTCAATTTTGACGAGTTTTATGATGTTGAAAAGTTACGACGCGTATTAACGCGAAAATTATCATTAAAAGAACGTATTTTTACGCATATTTTTTTAACGAGTATTACTATGTTCAGCAATCAATCATCATTTCTATGTTTTTACTTGAATTTAACGTGTTGAAATGAGTTTGCCTACTACGACTAGTTAAAACTCAGAGCCTCATATTCGATAAATTAAATTCGTATGAACAAATATCACCTTTTTAATATTTCATTAGAATACATTATTGTGCTTTAAACAATCATAAAAATGTATGGCATTCCATGAAGACATCTGACTTCTTTTCTCCTCTAATTTTTCAAGAGCATACGAATTCTCATTGTACATTGTTTAACTTCTTCAAATAAAATTTTCATGCCATCGAAATTTTATTTGGTGTGTTTGTAATCCAGTATAGTTATGCATGTAATGTGTCCTGTATGTATCTGTTGTGTCAAAGCTACACCGGTCAACAAAGTTATCACTTCGACAAAAAAAAATCGTCGAAGCTATTTTTTATTCAGCTATCAATAAATAATTTACTAAATTGAATTTTGTATTGTTGGCTGTATTAGAAAAGTTTTTTTCAATAAGTATCATTTATTCAACAATATTGTTGAATAAATAGCATTTGTTGAAAAAAAATTCTAATGCAGTCAACAATCGAACATTTTATTTAAAAAATTATTTATTGATAGCTGAATATAAAATAACTTCGACGATTATTTTTTTCGAAGTTATAATTTCGTCGACTGGTGTAACTTCGATACAACGTATCCACTGTTTACTTTAAAAGATTATCAAGAACTTAAGAAATATATATTCTAGCACTTCAATACATCAGTATGATAGCGAAATATTTTAAAAGTTTCTAAGTTCCAATATCAGCTATTTAAACAATGTTCATGTAGATTCTAGAAGGTTTGGAAAAAGGTGTAATTCACATATTGAATTCTGATGTTGATCGAATCGATAGGCAGCTTTCTCTATGATTGAATTATATCCAATGGAAATAGTATTTGGAGGTGTTGGAAATTGTGTATAGACAAGTAAATCATTTATGTATTTTATCCCATTAAGTAAGAAGAAATCACAATCCNCCACTGAGCACACCGTCGGTGCAAGTCGGTGCAAGTCGGTGATCAGTATACCGACACTGCACATCCCTATGTTAGTAGTAGCTATTAATCGAATAATACCAACAATTACACCAAGACGAATATTGTTGGAGTCATCAACGTATATCAAAGCCGAATCATCGGCTTGACTATTGCTCGGTCTATGAACTTTGAACGGTACATCTTCACAGAAGCACAACGAATTACTATTCAAGACACCATCAAACTCACAACAGATCATTTGATAATAGATTCTACTAATGATAGAAAACATCAGATCTTTTTTCTTACAGCTATACCACTTTTCACAAAAAAAAGTATTTTTTTAATTGCTAAGTAATCACAATGTTTGTATTCAAATGAAGGTTAAAATTGCAGTAGAATTACTTATATAAATGACTTTTTTTTGTACACTTGCTCATGAAATAATATAAAAACGATTTTGTTTTGACTCCAGCTGAAACATTCATGTGGAAGCGTAAGATGATTTCACCTTCTTTACATATAAAAAAAAAGCATATTGAACGCACTTTATATGATGAAATCTTTAACAAAGATAAACAAAAATCCAGATTGCCAACGATTCATGACGAACAGAAAATGAAATTCTTATCCTTCTCTTTCTATTTTTAGTTGAAAAGTAAACAAGTATACGATACAAGGATTATTTCATATTGTAGTATTAAACTGTTCGTTCATTCTAACTCGATCTTCGACAATACTAGAATCTTTTTATCATGCATTTTACTCAAATAATCAGAACAATTCTATTTACAACGAAGGAAAGTAAAGATGAACATCGCTTGAATGCACGAGTATGTCCTCGAGAATTAGCCATTTCACTTTAGCACAATTGGCTCGCGTTGCATCTCTTGTGAAGTTGTCTGTCACAGTTACCAAACTAGTATAATCTACCTCTAATTTGGTTAGACGCGGTAAATATGTCTTTGCAGCATGAAGAAATTGTTCAACATAATACACATCTGCACGCCTGACGTTAAGTGATGTAAGATGCGGAAATTCAACTATTGAGTGTGATTGATTATATGGAAGTTGTATTGTTTTATTATCCAAGAACCAAAGCGGTGATCTACAATTCAAAACCATAAATTCCTTAAGCATTGGGAATGCTCGTGCGATCCGAATGAAGAATTCATGTTTCAAATGAACTGAGTCTAACACCTTCAAAAAAGTAACACGATTGAAAGTAATATGTGGAAACGTATTGCCAATATAGTCGAGACGATCAAATGAAAACGGAAGCGAAAAGACATGGCATATGCCTGTGCCGCAGCTGTAGTTTACGATACAAGCCACTTGTTGCCATTGTAATTTATTAAAAGTTTGTTGAATATCGTTACTAGATAACCAATGAACTGAATTATCAACATCAATCTCAGTACGAATATAAAAGGTAAATGTACGAAGCTGTGGCATATGAATAAGAATTTTATTATAAAGATGTGTGCCATCCACGAATACAGCTCGATTTTCAATGGAAAGATATAGAGTTAATTCTTTAAGATGTGACATACGACGAAGAAGAGGTATAACTTGTGCATCATAAACTTTAATAAAATTATACGTTAATGAGAAACACTTCAGATTAGGTAGATCATCCTGGAAAATACAAAACAATATTTATGAGAAGAAAATGCATAGAGTTCTTCTAAGAGACGGTATTTTAAATTTCCATGATATCTATTGGATTCTATGGAACATATACTATTTAGAAATGATGATTGAGTTAATTACCTTCTCCTTCTAAATTCTCAAAAATAGCAAACTAATAAATATTCAGAGAATAACTGTGAACAGAAACAGTACATCAGATTAGTTAAAACAAGTTTGTTTTCAATCCATTTCAAAAATTTTCTAAAATAAGACATCAGTTTACCATATTGTGACCAAACGTTGGATGATTCTCTCTACCATGAACACTAACAATGAATGTTGACAACTGTTTGAGACGACCATCAAGTAAAGAAAGACAATCTTGTAATGTATTCAGACTGATGCATAATTTTGTAAGAGTTGAAGAAGAAAAAGTAGTTGATGGCAAGTCTGAAAGTGACAAAGGTTGACATTGGTCCCTCGATAATCCAACAATACTCAAATGGGTTAAATTTTTGAAGAAAGTGAAAAGATGTATATACACATTTTTAGCGTAAGTCTTCACTGATATATTGCTAATATCTTCATTACATATAAGACTAAGGTCAGTAATTTGTTGTCGGGAAATATGTTGAAAGGACGATTCATCTAAAAAAAAACAGATAGTGTAATTTTTTCTTTTTTACTACTTTTATTGTTGAATTCTTGAGTAGTTGAATACATAAATTATTTACCTGTAAAATAACTTGAACAGATGTCTTGGTTAAAATTGAAGAGTTTCAGTTGGTTGAGATAAGGATAATCAGCAACGAGAAGAATTTTTTCCATAGATGTTGAGTCAAGAATGAGACATTTCACATTGTGATGAACTCTTGGCAATATATCGGAGCAGAAACGATCAAGTATTGAGGCAGGAATCAAATAAATATCATCAGTCAATGCCGATAGAAAATTGAGAATATTTGTAAAAATCTTGTCTTGTGCTAAAATGGCAAGTCTTTCATTATTAATATCCGAAAGTGAATAAAGCACATCAACATTATTGAGTTTTCTGAAAATGATAAGCAAGATTTCATTAGGTAGATCAAGAAGGTGAACATCAGATCGGACCATGTTTGATTGTGATTGTGACGTATATATTTCAATGCATGCATGTTCATTTTTTTTATGAATATTTCCATGATTGGATAAAAGCGTCAATGACCTCGTTGAAGAAAGTCAAGCGTCAATGAACTCTCTTGTTTGCTCATTTTTTTTTATTTTTATTTTTATTTTGCGATAATTCACGACCATTCGATTCTTACAGCGTCGTGTTTAAGAGTGGAAGGAAGAAAAAAGAAGATGTAAAAACAATCATATAAATCGACAGACGAGGAGAAAGAAGACAAGTCAAGAGAAAGAGAAAAGAAAATGATGTAACTATATGGAATTGCATTTATGCACAAGTAACGAAATATTTTTGATTTCATAAACGTTGATATATTGATGAATATCAGCATTCGTAGAGTAAGTTGTTACAATGAAGTTTGTCATTACAATCGAAAAGTGAATATACATTTTCCATTGATGTTAAATAAAACATGATTTCTAGTAGAACAAGATCAGATAGCAAGAAATGTAGACATTCTGTTGCTTTGTCGTAGATTTAGAATAAATAAGTATATCACTTATTGATCCATTCTAATGGACAACTGAGGATGTTCATTGTTAAAATAATATCTAACCAAATATCAGTATAGTATCGATGCACAGTGACGAAATATTTACACTTACCGTTGTTTGTTTCCTCTAATCAACGATCATTTGTGTCGAATGATCTAATAGTGTTTCTTTTCCTATATAAAGATGTATGCTACAGTTAACTTTGACATATTTTTAAGTCATAAAATGGTTAGTTTCTAATTCCAGACAATTCAAATGAAATAACTATGAAAGATATTCCATGAAAATTTACTTTCACGTTTTGAAAAATACGAGTAAAAAAATTAATTGTGATTTAAAACGTATATAAAAATGATGTGTATATTTTTGGAATTCAGTCAAATAAGAAAATTCATTTCGATTATAAAATTATTATAGATAACATGAATTTCCTAATCCGACTGAACTCCGAATCATGGATTGTATTCCTTCAATAGTATACGCAAAAGTAGTTTTTTTTTTGCATTGGTCATGAAAATTTGCTATAGAATTTGGTAGCGATACATTTTAGCTTGTATCATCTATCATGTAATCATGTGGAGAAATTTGAATTTCATAGAAACAAGAATTTTCCGTATTCTTTTAAAAGTTAACTGAATTTTAAAATTAATCTGTTTATTTGTATATATACAGTGGTTTGCAAAAAGACTTGGAACAATCTTATAACATGAACAGTTTTTATTTTCCAGATCCTCTGAATGCTTTGTTTTGCGGCTATTGTAGATTTATACTGAGTAGACTGACTATCCACTAAAAATATTCACATATTTGGTTGATTGTTATTCTATTGTTGTATAAAATCAAGCTGATATAGTAAACACAGACAGTCTGAAATCACATCATACTCCTGACTTACATTATTGAAACGTAGGAATGTATTCCATCAGGAAAGTTCACCGATATACAAAGGTACTACTGACTACAATCAGTTAGAACTTTTAAAAACTCAAAATTCAATACTCTGTAGAATAGTGAGCAGTCACAGACCGAAAAAGTATGGTTGATTCCAGGAACAGCCTTGCATCACGTCAACCAATTAAACGGCATAATGAAGTCATGTAGAGAAAACTGGCTGACACATAATGTGCATAATGTGAAGTAACTGTTTTCACAATCGTATCTTAACGCTATGTGAATTTTTTCAAGTATGAATATTGAAAAAGGGTGTGGGTGTGGCTGTGTGAAAATTCCTTTGGTACACGAACACCCACACACACCCATCCAAACGAATATTTATAAAGCGACTATGAAAGATCTGAACAGTTTAAGGATGAGAAGGATTTAAAAATTCGAAGTAATTGATAAAATTGTTGCATCATGTTTTTTCCACATATGGGAAGAAGGCTAAATTTAGTGTTTTGACTTTGAGTAATATCTTTGATGAATTTTTTTTTCAAGGTTACTACGACAATGTACTACTATTAAAGTGGAACTAGGCAACGCACTTCGATAAATAAACAATTCAATTCATTGGAAAAAAATTCTGGCTCAATTTAATTCAACTCAAAAAATAACTTTTTCAACTTAATTTGATTCAATTCATGTGTCTTGACAATTTTTTCCAATTCAATTAAGTCTATTCATATAATTTGAAAAACTTTTAAAATTGACGTGAGTTCAAACCGATTGCTTCAATGTAAAAAAATTTTGCAACTCAATTCAACTAATTCATCGAACATGATTTTTTTCCAATACATTTTGCTATTCTTTTCTACATTTATTTCTAGTCCAAAGAATGAAAACATTCGGATATTAGTCAGAGTTTATGTACTTTTAACAAAAGAATGACCTTTTATTCAACAATAAAACTTAACTAATCTTTTCTATTCTGATTCATATTATGAAGACAGTCAAGATCATACAGTTACATATCATAGTTCACTCTTAATCACCTATTCATATATGAATACCAAAATAATTAGAAATTTACTGATATTTATGCATTATTTCATGGTCATCATTCTCTTATTCATATACCGCAATTAGTCAGTTTACTATTAATATTATATCGACTGATATTTTTGAAAAATATTTCATACATCTGCAGCACGAATCATAATAAACAAAAAGAGAAGCGAGGAAGATGTTTTTCTTCAATGCAGGTCACTATTAGTTTGATTAGTGAATATGGCACTAGTATCAGAATCAATATTAACACGTTATCAATAAAATTCATCATAATTATCAGTACAAAAACCAAACCGAATTCGACTAGAATTGATTGATATTTATTCATATGATCTTTAATCAAGGAAAAAAGATACATCTTATCTATATATAATTCCAGCGGTTGTCTGTCGTAGCCTCCTAATTGCGGCCAAAGATCAGACCAATTAGCAGACCGACCGTGTGGGCGGAAATTGATCTGATTTTTGGTCGCTATTCGGACATAGTCGTTGTTTGTTACAGAGCCAAAGGTCGAATATAAAAATTAGTGTGCCAATAGTCCAAATATAGATTTAACAGGCGTTTGATTTTATCTTCATTAGACAGTCTACTATTCGAAAAAGAACGAATTTTTATGAATTTTAAAAAAAAAAGAACTTCAAGATGAGGAAATTAGAAGCAATGGAGGATTTCTCAGAAAAAAGTTCAGCCTCGAAAATTTCAAAAAATGCCTCTAGATTCGAATTGCGCGATCTTGAGAGTCGTCGATGAAACCTTGCATCAGAAATTATTATTTTCAAAAGAATATCTCTTATATATATTTTTCTTCTCATCATGGCAATAAAGTGATTGTAAAAGATTTCAAATATTTTAGCATTCATCATAAGGTTGTATCTCTAATCTAATTCGGATTTATTTCATAATAAATCATAGATTTTCGCTTTGTTTTTCATATTCCTTTTTTTTTAATTTAAAATTACTAATTTAGACAAAAACTAGTTCGACATTATAGAAACACAGATTTCATGTCCTCCAAATATTTCTTTATATTGACACATACAATGAAAAACTATATTTACAATAAAGGAAAATACAGATGAAAATCTTTAGAACGAACATATAATTCTTCTATAATGAGACGTCTTATTTGAGAACAATTGCGACGTGCTAAATCATTGGTAAAATTGTTTGTAACGATTGCTAATGTTTCATAACCAATATAAAGTTCCAGAAAACGAGGTAAACGAGTATTTTTTTCAAAGAGAAATTGTTCAGCATAATCAACACACGCAAGCGTAATATCCAGTTCTTCAAGAT